GTCACTACAAGCATGCTCAGTGTGAGGGATTGCATCCGAGTCAATGAGTTGATGCAATCAACTGGTTTTCCTTAAATAGAAAACTTCGAATCAATTTGACTGTATGATCTGCCGAACTGTAAAGAGCCTTGAGATGACATGTTGTGAATTGGCGCTATAGAAATAAACTGAATTGAATTTTGATAACATTTTGTATATATAAATAAATGTAAATCCCTTTATTGTCCAACAAGGCAATTAATCCATCCCCTTGGGGAACAGGGTGCCAATGAGTGCCACCCAGGGAGCAGTCTGAGGTTAAGGGTCTTGCTCAGGGACCCAGAATGACCTGAGTGGGATTTGAACTCAGAACCTCTGGGACCCAAGCACAATGCTTTAACCACAAGGCCACCACTCCCCTCAAATACATTTTCTTTTAAAGTTTGGTTGTATATTACCTCCCCTGTCATCTTGTTGTCACAGTCACAGCAAATTCAACTTCTGATAGGCTAATCAGTCCCATGTGACCAGTCCTCTCCCCGAAGCTAAACCTGTCAAAGAGCTGTTCTCTTTTCAATAAGAAGGTACAAACCCAGAGACCTCTATGCTAGAACCAGTACTGATCACTGATTATTTGGTTTGCAGATAATTCAACATCTTCTTTGGTCTCAAACCCACGCTGTGTTGTTCAAGTCTAAATGAACGGTAATGCTTTGGCGACAGTCTGAACTACTTAGTTTATGCTTTCAAGTTTTGCACCTAGTAATTTATGTCCAGCCTTCAAAGAACAAGGGAAAAAGAGAAACCCATTCGAGCTGGGGTGGGGTAAGAGAAACCACCCAACCCGATCCTGAAAAAGCAACCAAAACAGAAGCATGTTTTGGACAAAAATAAGAAAAGAATCATAGAATTCTAAAAAGAAGATGGTTTTATTGTTAATTATAGTTAAATTAATAAGCAGGTAGGAGAATGTTTTTGTTTTGTTTCATTTTTCTTATTTAGTTAGTCAGTAAAGAGTAAAAAATAATCAGGCTTGACTCTTATTTGATGGTTCTTCTAAAGAGGAACCTAAACATTTTCAATTAGAATACCATCCCTAAAAGAAAACTAAATACATATGCATATAATGAGATATATAGATATCTTTAGTTTGACGTGTTTTAACTTAATACATTTTTGAAATTTTAGGATACAAATAATAAAGCTCAAATAGTTTATTTATGTAAGGCAATACAGATCAATGTAAGTTATCAATACAATAACGTAGTATCAGCCTGGAAAAAAAGGCAAACAAGGTGTAACTATCCGCTCTCCTGCTGAAAGTCATATTCCACTTTATAGCAGTGATACAGAAATTATAGGTGTTATAATGAATGCACTTGGGCTTCCTTTATCTGCATCTATAAAGGCATAAGTCATTCTGTCATTTCCACATCCATCCCTTCATCCGATGCTGCCAAACTTCTGCAATGTCTCTCGCTCTCCTGCTGCATGCCTGTTCATGCACATGAGTTCTATAAAAATAACCTGGTAAATTCGTCAGCGCAAAGTTGCCCGATTGCTCATCATTGGGTTTGGCATTATGAGAAGGAGGAGTTACAGCAGGCCCTGACAAATGTCCAGAATCAAATGCAGGGAAATACTTATTGCAGAACATTTCCACTAATCTGACTGCTGGCATCTGTCACCTCATCATTTTCAGATAACTCAAACATATTTACTACATTTACACAGATATAGATGGAAAAAATAGCTGTAGCGGCACAATACAGTGCATTTACGCTAAAAATAAACTACTGCAGAGTATTCCCGTCACTTAATTAACAGACTCCACTAGGCATGACTGCCTTCCTTGGCAGCTGAAGGAGTTGTTGTGTGAGCCTCGACGCTGCAGCAGCTGCCGGGTGTCAGGTGCGTGTTGACAGCATATCCGACCCACCCACCTGGAACAAACAGAGCAGGCAGAGCGAGCAGGTCCCACAGGTAGACACACCTGAAAGCCGGCCAAACAGGAGGATAAATAAAAGCTTTGATGCTCAGAGTTCCTATCCTACACCTTCTTACTGGCAGAAACACCCACATCATCACTGATTTACCACACAAACCTCTACCTAGAGTACATTTTGTAACCTATACAAGCAAACTATGTAAAGATATATAGAGCAGTAAAATCCCAGAAGGTCCAATAAAACGATTTAACAATGCAGCAGAGGAGCATGGACACAAACGGTGTTACTGCCCTCAGACACACCTACAGTCTTATCTTTAACCCATATCATGGAGCAGATACAGCGTCTGAGCTATAAATACACCAGGTGATCGCTATGGAAACATTACCAACAAATATTAAGATGCCGTGAGGTCATTTCAGCCAGATTACAGGATAACACCATAAAAGAAGGAATGGAGATAACTCCCTTCAGATGACAAGTTCGTTTAAGATAATTAGTGGTGTGACTTTAAAATAGTCAAGCAAAGCCAGAGAAAGCAAACTTCAAAACAAAAGCACCAGACTTTTGTATGGATGAAATATGTGCTCAAAGATTTGGAGGTGCACAGCCCATCAACGTCATGTTGCTTTGCATTGCAGGTCAGCTGTCAAACTTTTTCCTCATGTGCAAAGAAGACAAAGTTTGTTTGGAAGAACTTTCTGAATATACTGAATGACCCGATCCAATATTAACAACAGATATCAGAGCAATATTAGCCAAAAACTATCGGATTTTATCGGTCAGAATCTAAAATCTCCCATCTTTTCATTCTAATAGAAAAACTCTGCTTCTTTTAGAAGTTTCTTTGACTCATTGGTTAATTGTACATCGGTCAGTGGTATTCATACCTTTTGTTATTGACTTTTTTTCCCCTGTTTTACCAAAATTACTTGATCAAGCCTTTTCTAACATTATACAGTATAAAATAAGTAATAAAAGCCGGTATGGTTCAAACTAATATCGTAGTAAGGTTAATATCCATATAGGCCGATTCTTAAAGCTGTAATATCACAATCGTATCGGAAATGAAAAAGTCGTATTGGGACACCCCTAAGTGTCTTCATGAAACATTTGTTCCATTTCTGTTTTAAATCAGGGAAATTATATTATAGCTAATATCTTTTGTTTTTAAATCTATGTCTAAATACATTGAAAACTTGGTTAGGCCAGTTTATACCAAGCTTATCGTATATATTTAACATGTGGTCAATCAAGTGTCAAACCCTGAATACACACATGAACTCAAGATCTGCGTAATAAAAATGGCTGAATACTATGAAATCACTAACCTCTATTTATTCACTGGATTGCTGATAGGCCAGTGGTAGCACATGGTGCTGTGAAGTCACCAGCCGCCATATTGGTACTCCATAGTTCGACCGGTCAGAATGTAAACAATATGTGCCCTACAGCGTCAAACAATGATGATATTCTCATTTTTAGGGGGGCGTAAGACTTTTAAAATAAAGATAAATTCGTCACTTCCACAAACACTTAGCATCATTACATTACTGTGATTTATGGTAAAAAATAGACGCATCACATGATGATATGCAAAATGTGCTAAATTACATCATAGATTTTTATGGTAATTACATTACATTACAGGTCTTTTTTTGCCGCTGCTCCATGAAAGCGGGGAGTACCAAGATGGCGGCAGGTGACTTCAGCTTTTTCAGCAATCCAGTGAATAAATAGAGCATCAAATAGCAAGAACATATAATTTAAGTTAAAGAGTAATCTGATGTCAAATCATATGGCACCACAGTAAAGCTACTGGAAATTGACCAGGGAAAGCCATCTAGTCCAACTGTTAAAATCGAGTTGTTCCACCCCACTGTCATCCTGTGCATGCTTTTATTTAATGTAAGCTGTTTGTTTTCTGCAAAACTGTTTTTAAAAATTGGTAACTTGAGATTATGTCTACCGTAAAATGACCAGATGGAGAAGTGTTTTGTAACTGAATGTTAATCTGACAGTAAAACAATGTAGTGGACTAAAATGAACCAAGCTAACTCGTATTGGACCCGTTTTGTCTAGGCAGTACAATGCCATGATGGTTGTTGTGAATTGTTTCCATGTGGATAAATTAGATCAAATTGAAGTAAATAAATAAAAGCGTAGGGTTTTCGCGTTCAGTGGAATTTATAAATAACAATAATAGCTATTTTAAGGTGTAATTATGTCTGCTTTAGAGACGGAAACACTCAGAAACCAGTGAAATACTAACGTTGAAGCATCAACAAGAACATGGCGGCAGGTGACTTCAGCTTTTACGGTCTATCAGCAATCCAGTGACTAAATATAGATCAGTGCATCAAATAGCAAAAAGATATACTTTAAGTTAAAGAGTAATGTGACGTCAAATCATATGGCACCACACTTAAGTACCTGGAAATTGACTCAACTGTTAAAATCGAGTTGTTCCTCCCCACTGTCAGCATGTGCATGCTTTTATTCAATGTAAGCTGTTAGTTTTCTGCCATAAACTGTTTAGAAATTGGTAACTTGAGATTATTTGTACTGTAAAATGACCAGATGGAGAAGTGTTTTGTACCTGAATGTTAATCTGACAGTAAAACAATGTAGTGGACTAAAATGAACCGAGCTAACTCGTATTGGACCCGTTTTGTCTAGGCAGTACAATGCCATGTTGGTTGTTGTGAATTGTTTCCATGTGGATAAATTAGATCAAATTGAAGTAAATAAATAAAAGCGTAGGGTTTTCACGTTAAGTGGAATTTATAAACGAAAACAATAGCTATTTAAGGTATAATTATGTCTGCTTTAAAGACGGAAACATTCAGAAAGCAGTGAAACGTATAAAGTGGTTTATGAATGGAAAACTTTATGTTCCTGTTGGGTGTGGAGTTTGATTTCAATGCAGGTTTTGTCTTCAGGTAATGTCAGTGGAAACGGCCTGTAATTGCACAATCCTTCTTCCTTGTCGCCAAACTGCTTCGCTTTTCTCCTTTAAATCCAGACCTTTAAACGATCATCTGAGCTCAGATCAAACACCTTTAGACTTACCTGCATACCAGGGACGTCCATAGTTACTTCGACCTCTTTTCCTCCTCCTGGCTCCTCTGCTTTCTTTTCTTTTTTTCCCCCTAACTTCTGAATTCTTATTTCTTCTCTTCGGCTTTTCCGCCTCAAACTTTCCTCTTACATAGGAGGAACCGGTTGGACTTCGATGTGAGGAAATATTTCCAGCTTTGTTTGCAGCAAATTGAGGCGAACAAACTCCAACTTCTGAGTGTGAGACAGACTCTGCAGCCAGGAGGAAAAAAATGCTGTTGAGCAAACAAACGAGCAGAGTGAGGAGTTGGTTACCTCCTTTCTGAGGGAGGAGCGACTGAAAGTTCACTGGAGGAGGCCTGCTGCCACCCTCTGCTGGCTTCCACAGGATTAGTTTACTTTTTTTTCTTTTTTTTTATACCTGAAATGCTCCAGGTACAGAAGCGGAGTTGGGAGAAAAAAAAAAAAAAGTTAACTGACTGTTAAATATATACTTTTTTTTGGGGAAAAAGACTTTATTCTCAGAATTCTTACTTTAATTTCAGAATTCTAACATTAATCTCAGAATTCTGACTTTATTTCTCAGCATTCTAATTTTAATCTCAGAATTCTGACTTTAATCTCAGAATTTTGACTTTATTTCTCAGCATTCTAACTTTAATCTCAGAATTCTGACTTTATTTCTCAGCATTCTAACTTTAATCTCAGAATTCTGACTTTATTTCTCAGCATTCTAACTTTAATCTCAGAATTCTGACTTTAATCTCAGAATTCTGACTTTATTTCTCAGCATTCTAACTTTAATCTCAGAATTCTAACTTTAATCTCAGAATTCTGACTTGTTTTCTCCGAATTCAGACTTTTTTCTCAGAATTCTGAATTTTATCTCAGAATTCTGACTTTTTCTCAGACTTCTAACTTTAATCTCAGTATTATGACTTTTCTCTGATTTCATACATTTTCTCTTTACCCAATATAAGACAAAATCTAGTTCTGAAAAGAGCATGATTTCTGTGTTATCATCTTTAATGTTAGTATATTGATGTGCATAATTAACCACAGGGTTTTTGTTGTCATGTAATTGTTTACATATAGAAAATTAAAAAGTAAAATAAGTTAAAATATACCACTTCAGAGCATTACTGCTGCCACCATCTGTATTAGAGGGAAAAAATGGTAGAGGTGGTCACAGGGGTGGCCAATGACTGGCTAAGGGTGGCCATGGCCACCCCTGACCCCCCATCTTGCTCCGCCCCTGATTTCAGTGTTTTCGATGTAGTGTGGATTTATTTTGACCTCCTGGATGATCCTTTGATGCTCTTGGATTAGATTTTTATTTTTTGTGGTTCCAATTTTGTTTTTATTTGATATTTTTGTATTTGTAAGCATGCTATACATGTGAAGGTTTACTGCTACGAAACTTTAATTTTATTTATTTTTTCCAGTTGCAGATAAGGGCTTTCATGGTCGTTTACCTAACAGAGGAAATACGTTGTAGACCTTGGTAACTCTGCTTCATCTATTCTTAAACTACTTTAGATTTGGTACAGGATGTGAAAATTTGTTTAGATCTTGAGTCTTTTTTTCACCTGATATCTACTGAGTAAAGTAGCTAAGTTCAGGTTATAAATCAGGCTCAGTTCATTTGGATTTTCTGCAGTCCTGGCAGCCTGTGGGCCTGGGTGTGGTTGATGAAATTTGATTTAGCTTTAACAGATTAATAATTTTTTTTACAGTAACGCTTTTGTTCAACATTGTTCTGTTTACTGCTTAGTTTAGACTGGTTTCTTTCTTTCTTGTTTTTTTTTTTTATATATCTATCGATCTGTCTGTCTGTATAATTTTGTTAACACTGAAGAAAAAAAAGACTGATAAACAAACAATTTGAAAAGACGGCTAAATACCTATTTACTTTAAATTCATACTTTTTCGAAAACAGCTTAAGATGCTGTCATTTGCTTTAATAAACGTAAAAAAGAACCACTTTTGAACTTCTTCCTGGTTTCCTACAGTCCATGAACGCACAGCCATAGATATCCATAATCTATGCGCACAGCCAGGTTTTCCTACTGACGTCAGACAAGGGGCGGAGCCCGGAAGAAAGATGGCGTCTTTACGCTGTAGAAGAGATCCCTGCGGTGTAATTTGCCTCATTTTAACTTACTTTAGCGTTTTTTACGCGGACTATGTGGTCATCCAGTATGTTCTCATCCCCGCCTATGCCGACAGGTCAGTATTTGGAGTTTTAATACCTAGAAGAACATTAAAAACAGCCGGCATGACGTCTGGCTCTGTTGCCTCCATTCATTTAGCCAACAGGTACAACAGCAGCCGATGTATTCTCCAAAAAAACAGTCAGTTTTGATCACCAATACTAGAATTTTTCTCCGATTCTAAGGGTGATGTTTGTAGCAGGTAGAATCGGTTTACACATTCTCTTGTTTTATTTATTTCCAAGGCATTTGGTTTGCTAAAAACAAAACATTTAGCTTTATGCTAATTGGTTTTACGCCTGTTGATGTTATCATGTTTGTATGTTGATATTTTTTTTATAAAGCTTCAAAAACGTATAAATAGGTGGAAAAAAAGCAAAACAATGTGATAGTTATACTCACTTCTAATGTAATTTAAAGAATGTTTAGCTAGTGAATAATATTGCGCAATTTGTTGTTCTTCTTTTTGACACGTGACTTAGTGTGGGATGATCAGTCATGATAGAAAGACCGCAAATCAAATATTTTTGATCCAAATATAGTTTTAAAAAAACACATCAGTTTGGGTTGGTCAATATTTATTGTATGTAGAAGCGATCACCACTGGAAAAGCTATGTGGAGAACAAATCAAACCTTATTTAGGGTGTATAGGATACTGGTCTGGAGTCAAATAATGTGCAATTTGATGTAAAGAAGGAAGAAAAAAAATCAAGACTTTATAGAAATTGCTGCAGCTCATCAATTTCACATTAGTTTAAGGAGAGTCATCAAGAAAATTGTCACCATGTGAAAGAAAGATCTTCCTCTGGAGTTGATGTACCTGCAAATTCACAGAAAACACCAACCATGAAATGCAAAATAAATAAAACAAGGGGTATTTAAGATAAGTTTTACTTCTTCATACCCCTTTCCAGACAACTTTAATTGCATAATCAATAATTATAAATTAATCAATAATAATGTTCAATCTCAGGCTACATATGCTGGCAAGTTATTAAATTTACTTTATTTTGTTAGCTTTTGTCTATGTTAAAATTAATTTAATTTATTTGGAACTGAAAATATAATTTATTTTGATGTTCAACCTTTAATCCAGGGTTCCTGCGGATCCTTAAAAAGTCTTAAGCGGCATTGAATTGTTCAATATAAAAATAAAGCCTTAATTGGTATTAAAATGTCTTAAATCAGTCTTTCACGGGTCTTAGAATTGTCACCAAGTCATAAATAAGATTTTATTTTTGTAATTCATATAAAAAGTTAAAGTAATTCACCATCAATTTTTTGACATTTGCGGAACGGCTTCACTGGAACTATTATTAGTTCCATCCTGACAGCAGAACCAATAAAAACAATGCTGCAAACGGACCTTGGGGCGATGCGCCAATAACGTGGGGAAGTGTAAATTCAATGAAAACTCTCTATCCAGCCAGGAGATTTCTGCATGGCTAAAAACAGAACCAGGTGATATATATGAGGAATGGCTTATTTTGAGAAAGAAGTCATTCAGGCTTGGCGTGATGGGAATCAAAGCTGTGGAGTCAGACATGTGAAGAGTGAAATTTCAGTTACAGAGAAGCAGCTATATCTCACTTCTGTTCCTCATCTCTGCAAGGCCTCTACAGCATCTCCAACGTAAAAAACAAAAAAAAAAAACACCAGTCGCAGCAAAGCTCTGGATAATGTTTGGTGGTTCGACCACAATGGAAGCAGAGCTATTATGGACTTAGAGTCAGGATCAAAGCAAAGTCTGTGAATTCCTTTCATTAGTGGTTAAAAATATATCTGTTATTAGTGTTTTTTTTAGCTTTCTTCCTATATGGAAAGTTTTTTTAAAATTGTAATAATTTCTATTCGGCCAGAAAATAATGGTTTATGTTAAAATAAGAATCAGGTTAAATTTGTCACAACCAGGTTTTCTTCTGTTTATTGTGAAGTTGGTCTTAAAGTTTTATTTCAAGGGACAAAAAAGTCTTAAAAAGTCTTAAATTTAACTTGCCTTATGTTGTAGGAACACTGTAATCAGTCACTTTTTTGTGTGGTATAAGGTTGTTAGTTTCAAATATTTTCTGATATTTTTATCATCGTTAATTGTCTGAAATACATTTTATTATTTGAAATGAAATTCAAAAGCTGCATCTTTGACTCTACAGGCCTCAGTCTGCATGACTGAGGCCTGTAGAGTCAAAGATCTGTCACTCTTAGACGACAGGACTCTTCTAAACAAATATTACATGTATAAAAGAGGTTTCAGAAGAAAGAAGAGGAATTTTATTGGCAAACTATTCTTTTGTACAGATGAGACAAATTCAGTGATGTTTGGATGAAAACACCTAACATCAGCTGATAAGCTTGGTGGTGCAAGGATAGTAATCTGGCTTTGTCTGCAACACACAGGAAATGTTACTTTGTAGCTTTTTTAAAATAGCTATACACTCCAACACGAAACCCAACATTGAATCCAGCACAGGTTGGCTGAGAGAAAGAACAATCAAGGTGATGAATTGGCCAAATTAAAGTCCACGTCTCAAAGAAACTCCACAGTGACAAATGTATGCATACCTTTATGACCGGTGATTTAAAAAAAAATGGATCAAAATCTGTCTATTAAAAGCAAGACTGATTAGAAAAAACCTGATGCAAATTACTGCAAATATTAGGTCTACAAAATTGTTAATGATGGTGAGTAAAGGGTGCGTTTAACCTGATTCTCTGTGAAAATTCATTTGATCTTTCTTCATAACGTTATTGATGCTAAAAAGGAGGAAGCTTTTGCAGAAAACTGAGATTTTTTCTAAAAGATGACTGAATTTCCACCTGACTGGTCTCTCTGACAGCGTGTGGGGAACTCTTCATGGATCCTTCTTCAACCTGATCCTGCTGCTGCTGCTGGCCTGCCACTCCAAAGCTGTCTTCTCAGATCCTGGTTGGTCACCTTCAGCTTACGTCGTCTGTCAGATTTATACTTTTTAAATATTTGTAGTTTTGCATGTTTTAAAGGGAATTCTTAGTGGTTTGGCCAATAAAGCTACCAGAATGAAGCTGTTTTACATGTGAAGATTTCTGGATAAATGCATGAAGTGGTTTTAGGTTTAATGTTTCATATTTGTGTCTCCAGGCATGGTGCCCCTCCCAGAAACAGCCCTGGACTTCTCTGACCTGCGCTCTCAGTCTTCTCGGATGAGCGAGCGGGTTTGTTTATTTCATCTGCCATAATAATAATAATTAAACTGTTACCTATTCCTGAAAAATAATTGCAAAATATATATATATATATATATATATATATATATATATATATATATATATATATTAGGGGTGGAATGGTTCACAAAATCCACGGTTCGGTTCAGTTCACGGTTTCGTGGTCACGGTTTTCAGTTCGATATATGTTGATTGTTAGCCTGATATGTTGGTCATGTTGATGTTAGCATAAACAAAACGTGTTGCACAATGCTTGCACACTGTTGCACTTTTATCCACCACTTTCTTTCCGCCGTCATCGTAGGTCACTCTAAATGCAAAGTGGTCCCATACAGCAGACCTATAAAGTGCTGCTGGCGCGTCTTCCAACTCCAGTTCTTTCCCACTCGCCAGTCCGACACAATTCTCCACAACAACTGATGTTTTTCTGCTACATCCGGCTAATCTGCTTCGCTTCTTCTTCTTCTTGTTTACTACTGGTGGTTGGCTTTGGTACTTTTTTTTTTCTTTTTTACATATTCATTGTAACTTATCAACATGTTTCTTTTGCCTGGAAGGAAAATAATCATTAAAGTAAATAAAAAAGCTTTAATTGAAATGCTTTTAATTTTAATTCATTTGATAAAGTACTTCCTGGTTTAGATTGCCATCTAAATCAGCCAGGGATTTAACACCTTTAGGCTTTATTAGATATTAGTCTTTCCTTTTGACTGCAAAATGTACTGTATACACAGGGAAAGTCTTTGAAGTGAGTTAAGGTTTCTGTATAGGATGTACGGTGGATAAATTGTACATAAAATCAGTTTGTTTTTTCTGTTCAGTTCATGTTACAAACCTAAAAGCATTAAGTTTATTGCGATTATACAGCAGCAGGGTGACAGATGATTGCAGCCTTTTTCTTGAACTCTGTTATTATCAGCTTTGAGCAGCGGCTATCTGAGTGTCTCCGTGTTAACAGCTGCTCTGTCTGTTTAAAGCAGTTATTTTGTGCTCATACGCTCTTGTAACAGGCTTTGGGTAACTTGCAATTTTAAAACTTTAAAAAGGTGACTGTATTTTTTTTGTTGTTATTTCTTGCTGTATGTTTTGTTTTATTTTGTCTCTAACTGGTTATATCTTTAGCTTCTAAAATTAAGAAAACATGCAGCTTTCTTTGGTTCTGATTAATTCTTGGTAAATCTGACTTTCAGCTGCATAAAATAAAACTCAGACTAAACATCAGACGTTGCGTTTGATTCTCCCACCTAGAATGGTTCAAGTAAACCATGCAGTCAGGATGCAGCAGATGTCAGGAGATTGGTGCTTTCACTTTAATCTGAAATAAGCATTCTCGGGTTTCCGTAGCTCAGGATGACATTGATTCAGTGTTTTTTGTTCTAGATGAGTTCTGATAACTGATAAAATAGCTACAGGCTTCAAACATTTAGTTTTTTTAGGTTTTCATTGAATGATGTACAACATTGTTTAACAAGGCTTGAATTTTGCTTCCCTTTAAATTTACGTGACTTACCACAATGAAAGATTGGAATAAAGCTAGTTTTTATAAGTGAGGCATGTTATTTTTCAATTTTTTTTATCAAACTATATTGAGCAAAAATTTAGTTACTCACATTTAGTTAAAAAAGAAATGCAGATTAGCTTTTTAAGCCCTAATCCTAATCAGCCTCCGGGTTCAGAGTTAACATGAAGACAGATGTTTGAAGCCTGAATGCGTCTGAATGCTGATAAGTTCGGCTGTTTGGTCTGTTTAAGGTTAAAGAAGCAGCAGCCGCTGCAGCTGCTCTGTGTCGCTAAGTGCAGCAGAACCTCAGTTAGCTTCTATTTGTTCTTGTTTTCATTGCAGCAGAACCTCAGTGAGCTTCTCTTTGTTCTTGTTCTCAGTGCAGCAGAACCTCAGTGAGATTGAATTTGTTCTTGTTCTCAGGGCTGTGAGGGCTGGACGGTTTGCAGCCGCTGTGAAACCTACAGACCTCCCAGAGCGCATCACTGCAGGGTCTGTCAGAGGTGCATACGCCGCATGGATCATCACTGTCCCTGGTGAGCCTACCTCCCTCCCTCCCTTCCTCCCTCCCTGCCATACCCTCCCTCCAGATATCCTGATTATTCTTCTTATTTTTCCATTGTTCAGGATCAATAACTGTGTCGGGGAGCTGAACCAGAAGTATTTCATCCAGTTTCTCTTTTACACTGGTGAGTAGCGACATAAACTTGTTCCTTTAACAGGTGTAAACAAAAAAGAGGCCGTTTTTCCTCATCTCCTCAGTTTGCCTTACAAAGGCAGACCAACCAAACTCACTGGTTTACCTGAAAGCAGCACAGCCCTGCACAGTGAGGACGATTTAATCAACCTCAGTTGGATAGAAGCCACTTCAGGCTCCGTGGGTTTGTAGATGTGAGTAGAAGGGACAACCTGTCCTCTCTATGGACAATAGGAGGTGGAAAAATGTTCCCATCTATAAATGATGAGATACGACTAGACTGAGGAGCAATGTTTCAAAGATTAAAACGCTGCTTGGTTGTAGCTCATTATCCAGTCTGCTTTTGTCTGCATGCAGGCATTGCCAGTCTGTACTCCATGGTCCTGGTGGTGTGGGCCTGGGTGTGGAGGATACGGAACGAGAGGGACGGCGAAGCAGACAAAGAAGGGGAAGAGACACCAAGCAAGCATCTGATAGTGTGAGTAAAGATGTCAGCAGGCAGTTTAATTTTAGAGTATTACCCTGCATGTTTACTTTTTATTTTCCTCTCTCCATGTGTCAGCGCTCATTATATCATCCTGCTGGTGGAGTCGGTGCTGTTTGGGGTGTTCGTCATGGTCATCTTCTACGATCAGGTAGGAACTGAAAGATCTGAAAACTGGAGTTACTAGAACTGTTGACTATTTTATTTAATTGAGCTTTAGTTGATGTTTGCATCCTCTCATTGTTTTGGGAAGTCATTAATAAAATGAAACCAATCTGTTGGTCTCTTCGGCTGACGCATCAAAGGGCTGGAAAATAATTCAATATTGTATGATAAAACAATATAATTCAATCAGATATGGTGATATGATATTTCTAATAAGTTAAGCACAGTCTATAATTACTGCTTTTGTCACTAACTGATGTTCCTGGTTTTATTTACTTTTATGTGTTTTTGTTTTTTAAAGCAAATTTTTAAAAAAATGTATATTAGTGGAATTTTATAAACATGATGAAATAAAAAAAGCATCAGTTTTAGACGTTTTTGGCATTCTTTCTGAGGCTTCTATTTTGTTTATATCAATATTTAAGTTATATTGTACCAACTAGAGATAGATGGATATATCAGCCGGCTCGGGTTGGCGTTTATTTTTTCCTTTATCGAAAGATTCGTCCAACGGGCATATTGAGATCAAGTGATCACACACATACACTGCTGCTCATGCCATTTTTTATCCACTTTCATTGTTTTATTTTATATATTAATAAATGTTTTCTTTTTTCGTTTCAATTAAGACTTGTTTAACCTTTTATTGTCATTGAGTCATTTTATCATGTAAATAAAGAAAAGAAGCAAAAATATCAGCAGCACACATCAGATATATGTTAGACTGATGTAAAAAAAAAAAAGAAAAGAAGAAAAAGATCAATCTCTAGTATTAAGCAAAATAAAAAAGTCAATTAGCATTTACCGTAATTTTCAGACTATAAGCTGCACCTGAATATAAGCCACAGAAGCTATATTGCATGATTTGTACATATACGAACCACACCGGACTATAAGCCGGTTTTTTATATGTTTAATTACCATATGGTTCATGCACAGAGAGGATTGTTGGGAAAGAAGCAACTGTTTGGGGAAGCTCCTATTTATTAACAATTCAACACAATTAGCATATTTGCATACGTTAACTGTTACAATTTAGTGCAATAGAAGCTCTCATTTATCAACCGGTACGTTTGTTTTCCATAATGAGGGTGTCACACAAACTGTCTTGCGTTCACAATGTCCGTCTTTCTCGCTGTCGTTCTGTCTCGTACCACTCGCAGTAGAAGTCTGTTTCCCGAGGACCTCCGCAGTCGCGTGCATGCGGCTACCGTACTTGTGTGTTGAAGCGTAAAAGTCCATAGATAAGCCGCATTGCTATATAAGCTGCAAGGTTGAAAATTGGGGAAAAAGTTGCGGCTTATAGTCCGAAAATTATGGTAAGTTTTGGCTATAGCATCCCACCCCAACCCGTTATTTGAAAAATGTCATTTGCTAATTTTTCCAGTTTCTGCAAATTAAAACCAGACATCTGCACATTTTCTGGGATTATTTTTTATAGATTAACACAAGTTAGATCATAACTGAGCAATAAAATAAAAATGGTGCATGCTTAATCTAGGCCTTATGACAATGAAAGTCTGATCTGATTTATGGTTCACATTTATATCACTCCTGAGCTAATGCTCTGTAGCATCACCTCTGGCTCTCATTACAGCTGTGCGTCTTTAGGGTTTGTCACTTCCAGTTTAGGAACTTTTTTTTTCTTTTCAAAACATCTCAAGCCCAGTTAGGTTGAAGGGAGATCGTCTTTAATATTCACCTCTAAAGTTCTGTCACAGATTCTTAAATAAACTGATGCCTGGACTTTGACTAAGCCAGGGAAAGAGAACGCCTCTCATCTAGTGCCACAGTCCTGTAGCTTTTGCATTGATCCCTGCTCCAACAAAATTCCCCCCTGAGCATGTGGGTAAGTTTAGCAGAGGCCTGGCCTTTAATCATGTATTTTTTTCAGGTTTGTTGAAGAGGGGATGCATAAACCTGCAGCACAGTAGCACTCGATGACCGACGTTGCGTACCCCTGGATTAGGCCATTCTAACACAGGAATGTGCTTTGCTACTTAAGTGGTTGTAGATTTAACCAGCTCCTTAATCCCTGTGGTAGCAAAGCATCCCCAGAAAATTGTTTGCATGTTTAGCCTTTGCCACTCCCAGTGTTTTGCATGTAGGTTAAAGAGTTCAGTTCTTATCCGATTTCCAACAAACCTCTACAGCCTCCACCGAGCAGCTGGTTTATAATGAGGTTAAATCAAACACAGATGGGATCTGTTTGTCACTGAAATATTTTTTTGTTGGCTGGATTTTATTTAGGGGTAACAGAGTAGTAGGGATGGAAAAAAGCAGTAAACGCTTTAAATATTTTCATCCTTCTAAATTTAAAGTCGCTTTAGGCTCCCAGGAGCTGTAGATTCTGTAACGGTGGCTGTGTCTCCCCTCAGCTGGTTTCCATCATCACGGACGAAACCCCCATCGAACAGATGAAGAACAGGCTGATGATCAAAGACAGGAGCGCCTCCTCCTCCTCGTTATCCTCCTCCTCTTCACAGCAGCCGCCTCATCACCTCCCACACGGCACCCGGAAGCCCAAGATGGCTCTTCTGAGGGAGGTGTTTGGTAGAGGTGTGTGCCTAGGTTGACGTCCCGCTCGTCTCATTGCTAAAACTCTTTCATGACTCATCACTTTCACCGTCCTTCCTTCCTTTTCTTTCCACCCGTCCAGGGTCGGTGTTCTGCTGGTTGCTGCCGCTCCATTCCAGCCCTCCATCGGTCGGGGGAATCATCTACTCTGCCCTGCCCGACTACGACGTCTGATCTGTGTGAGCATGGGGCCATCCTTGTGTGAAGGAAAGGCCGCTGCCTGAAACTGATGGCTCGTCTTTTAACTGAGAAGTTACATATAGAAGGGATGATTGAGTAGTTTGTGTGTGTTTGCATCCAAATGATGAATGAAAGAATGAATGAGTGATTGATGCACTGAGTCCTAATGATTTTAACCCTAGGACGTAAAAAAAGCACTTCAGCTCCAGACCTATGAGATACTTTTTGCTAACTTTATTGTGATAAGGAGACAGAACTGAGCTTCTTGTGGCATGACTGGAAGTTTTCTGACCAGCGGCTCTCAAATCTTTTTATACTTATTCATGGCAGCCTTTTTCTGAAAACTGGGATTTTACTGAGCTTTACTCGGTTCCTAATAACATTTTCCTTAACAAAATGTCAACTATGTGTTTGAAAGGATCTCTTTGATCCAAACAGGTATAGAATAGTAAGCATCGGGATATTAAGGGTTAATGCAGTATATACAAGCTCTTCATGGGCATGTTTGTGTGAGCGTTGCAAAAACAGCTGACCTTTAAACACCCAAATCACCCTAAATGTTCAGTTTTGTATATTTATTTTTTAATACAGAAACAAAACAAGTTCATTCTCATCGCATCGTTGTAAATTTTAGTTAAAAACCAGGGTGAGTTATCAGGTGGGTTTTATTAAAAAAAGAAGCTTTCCGACTCTGGTTAGGATGACGTCATCAGCATGGCAGGGAGAGAGAAACACAAAGCCTTTTATTTTTACATCCAGTCCTTTACTTTTGGTTGTAAAACAGCTTATTAGCCACTGAGAATCTGACTTATAATCATGTTTCTGAGGTTTATTATATAGTTACCGTGAGTGGCTTTATGAGCCTTTCCTTTATTTTCTATTCAGCAGCCCCCCTGGTGTCGGTCACAAGTTTCCTTTTGGATTTTTCTCCCCAGGGAAAACATACATTTTTCAAATTTAAGGTTCAGTAAACTTTTATAAGATAAATATATATTGAAAAAATATTCATTTTGAATAGAAGTAAAACAAGTATTTAAAAAAACAAACAAAAAAACAGTCGATATTGAACTTCACATTTGCAATATTTCCTGAAAGAGTTAATATTTGAAGCTAATGCTTGTTTTACTGGAGGAAAAGCTCACATGAAAACGAAATCCTCAAGATTATCAGTATTTCAAATAAAAATTTGAGGTTTGTCTTCCAGTAAAACCAAAGGTACCAACCCAAACCAGCTGTTTGTGGACGTCTGGCACTAAACCTGAACTTAAATCCCAGAAGTTGGTCATTTTAAATATATCTCACTATCAAAGTATAATTAACATCATTATAATTTCAGCACAGATTATTTTCTTTGGGGGAGCTGACTTTAATTCCTGGAAAAAGTAATTGTTTTTTAACACAATAATCTCCAAAAAACATCATCTTTTGTTATTGTCCTCAATTTTTTGTTTGAATAGAAACTGTTTATTTATGTTACTAACTTAACTGGGTTACATTCATATATTTACATTAATACTGAACCCAAAAAGGTGCAATTACATTCATAAAGAGCATTTCTACCTTCATTTATTTTTACTCTGTCTGCTCTATTAAGAATACACTCGCTCAGTGTTATTTTACAGCACTAGAGTAACCATACTTACTTATATGTTATTTCTAACTCTAAATGTGTTTTTATATGTAAGGGGTGAAGTTGCCTTTGCAAATCATTAAAGGATTTAAGGTTCTGATAAACTTATGAGGAACCACTTAGTCCTGTTGGGGTTCTGGTCATTTCCACCCTTCTGCATTCTGTATTTTTGTGGTTTTGGTTATTTTTTACTTTACTAAATATTGCAAACAGATAACTTTGTTGACTAAAGCAATGACAATTTTTTTCTTTTATCAAATGGCTTTTTTTCAGGTTCAAGAATCAATCTCAGGGCTGCTAGCTTGCATTTTTAGCTTATTCTTAGCTAGCATTTCTGGGTTTACAGGAAGTTACGCTAATTCACTTGCATTCCTAAGTTGATTTAAATATCATTATACATTATATCAGGATTTTCAGATTTTAATCAAAGATGGTGAAGTGAATCCTGTAGTTTGGGTTTTAGTCAGGATACTGAAGCTAATAGTTAGCAAAGATTATCGACTAGCTTTTCTTTGTTAGTTGGCTGAAATAGCTCCAACTAAGCTAGCCAAAGAGCTTAAAGATTTAACAGTATTTCAACTTTATAAGGGAGGTAGTTCCAAATGAGAAACCTAAACATACACATCTTTAAAAAATACGGTTTTGGGGTCAATAAGATGCTAATTTTATCAAATTAAATACCAAGGAACATAAGAAAGCTATTTTGCTACGAGCCAGCTCAGGCTATAATCAGTTAGCCATTTAATGGTTCTCCATTTTTCCTCCAGACCATGTTCTGTTTTTCGGTTTTTGTTTAATGCTGATATTTTGTAATATTAATATTTTGTTAAAATTACACATTTTGTCTCCCCCCACAATTAACCCGAACATCTGTTGGTATTATCTAATATTTAGGCAGTTAACCTGCTTAAAAGTAACACTAATCATCAGCTATGAGGCAAAGACAACTTCACCTCCATTGTGTTTTTGTTTTGAAGCATGTCCAAGCATGGGCCCAACAGTTTCAGATAAACAGGTGCTTTATGGGATCATGTATCAGTTTAATCTGTTTGAATTACAAGAAGAAGTGTTTGTTTAAAGGATATAACCACAGATTCCTTTTTTGTTTTTTTTGATAAATTATTCAAATTTGATCACTTTAATTAGACTTTTGTCACTACAATGGACCTGCAACCAGCTGCTTGGAGCCAGACATGGTCCAATGACTTCTAATATCTTTTCATAAAAGGCTTCTTTTTAAATGTCATATATTGTCAATTGCTCCAAACCAGATTTATTTGGCTAGACTGAGGGCCAAAAGTGCTCTTTAGACGCTCAAGGTTGCAGACCTCTGATTTCTGTCATATGCATGTTAAATTAAAAATGTGGTCCCTAAAATTGCACGAAATTAGGAGAAACTAGACAGTTCACAATCCTGATTAAGTTGTTCTCAGGCTGCAAACACAGGGCTGACATTTGTCAAGTTATAAATTTACATCAGGCTTCCAAACTGATGGATCTGATATTGAATCTGATATAAAACAAATTGGGTTCTGTATCTTTATGTGTGATAGAAATATAAATATTAGATTTTTTTTAAACAATGATCCAATTAAGTAAAAGACACTTTTATTTTTTGTGGAGGAGTTAATGTACAGCGAACAGACTTGAGCATTGGATTCAGGCGTCAAGTTTTGATTCTCACTAACTCCTGCCAGACTACAGCCAAGTCCTGACTTAAAATACTCAATCCAGATTACTGTAGTTGGATTATTAAAACTGGACACTACATCTGTCGGCTCATTCAGGCCTGAGACAGTTTCCCAATATAAGTCAGATGTTAACCAACAAGCGGAAAAAAATGACATCCTAAGGGCTTTTTATGTACTAACAAGTGTAACTTTTGGTATTCATTTCAGTATAAATATATCTGTTTAAATTATATCTCATAAATGGAAAAATGCAACATTTAAGGTGCAAAAAGTTCAGGCAGAAATTTTAGATTTTAATTTACTGAGCAGAATCTTTCATTTAAAGCAATGGATTCTTCGTCTTTAGTGTTTTTATATTGTGTTACATTAACAAAAGGGAACGGAAGCTGCCTTGCTGTCTTCAGTTTGTTTCATTTCTACATGGTTGCTTTAGGAATGGATGATGTTTATGAAGGTTTCTTATAACTTCCCCACCGTGCTGATTCTGGTCCAGGTGCTGGTTCTGTCTACATATGAAGGTTTATCTACTGAACATGTGCAATCCTAATGAAGGGAAAAGTTCCTGAATATCACAAATATTTATTATGATTTCTAACATTATTATGGTGTAAAAGGTTTGAAAGGTTTTTAATAAATGGAAGGGAAACCTAAGGTTTCATTATTGAAGTTAGCTGATTTCATTAAACCACCTCATTTAGCCAGGCACCTAAAATATTTCAGTCTATGGTTTTTGTCCAGATTTGTGTTTATTTGTGTGTAATTATCAGGGTGCTGGCTTCCTTGGTTTTAATAAATGCAGTTGATCTGTTTTTCCAATTAATTCTTTGTTTGATGAGAGTATGCTTGTTTTGTCTTATCCCAGCTGCCTTTTGTCCACAAATTCTGATGGAAATCAGGCACAGGTGCACAAAGCAAGCGCACTCTACCTACTGTTTTAATAGACAGCGTGAAGGAATGTCTGCAAACCGAAAAGGCCTGAAGCTAACTGAGCTGTCAGTCAAATGCATTCAAATTCAGCTCTGTGGTCTTTGAGCTCACGATGTTCTTGTTTTTTTTTTTAGTTAAGATATCACGTTTATAACTGTTGTCAAACAGTAAAACCTGTAAAAAAAATTTTTATACACGATTAATACAGGAAAACCAGGAATTAAAAACTGATGTGCAAATTTAAGAAAAGTACTTTTAAAGTTCACAGAATGTCTTTTTTTTATTTGTCAGCATTTATGTTTCTCCTGCTCATTTGATTGGCTGCAACAGTTAATTTCAAGCCACACAAACTAAACAGAGTTTGATGTCATGTGGTTTCTTGATAGACACGTTTACAGCTGAACTATGTTTGCTTTATTGTGGTATTGTTACAATCTTGAAACAGTGACCTGTGTATTCTTTCTTGGTCATTTGCTGCTGGAAAAAATCCAAATAAAACCATTGTCTTTTAATTGATCAAGCTTTTGTCGTCTTTTTTAATGTCTTACATAAAATGCCTTCATGTACTTAAAACACTCCTGATTACAACATTCAAAAGTAACTCATATAGTATACTGTGGTTAGCTGCACATTTTATATAGAGAATAGGAAAAAAAATTGCTTCAAGAGGCTAAGATATAAGATGTTCTACATAGGTGCTAAGTAAAGTGGATTTGCTTACAGTTCTTTAAAATGCACATTTTGAAGTAATACAACAGTACTTACCAAGATACACCAAGGTTTACATCAATAAAATAAAAAAAATAAAAATAAATACTTAAAAGACAACAGAATAAAAACTCTAAAATAGCCTGATACTCTTTCTCAACTGGAATTTCTTGGGATGGATTGTTCTTGAGTTTACATGTTTCTTGTTAAGATTTGTAGCCCACTTCATTTTATCTGGAAGAATTTATTCAAGAAATGTGTTGATTTTATAGATCTGGCATTGATCAAGCCTAAGTGAAAGCTAGAAACATTTGTCCACTGAATTATTTCATTATTTATCTGGATTTAAAATAATCTTTTCACTTAAGTGCAGTCTAGTTTAAGATCTCATCCCTTTTTAAAACTCCCAAGCAAGAGTTTTAGATATCCAATAACATTTTTGAGATCAGACAGCAAAAGAGAAATGGTATGGAAACATTGCTGTGTAGGACTTCATAGTCAATCTACCAGCATTTAACGTATTAAATTATGTTTTTTTTATTGAATAGACACCTTTGCTATATCAGATTTACTTCAATAGTTTTTAATTATCAGCAATTATTATTTAAAAACATAAAAAATGTAGAAATGATGGATGATTAGTTAGGACATCAATTGGCCTTTCTTTTGTTCAACACCAAAATGTATACTAAATTTAACCTGTAAAACATCACAATCTGTAATTAATCTTCTTGAGGAAATTCCAATGTCTTTGATGCATTATAATCCGTTTTGAAAGTTTTAATAGACAATTATTTATGTCTAAACTCTTTACCTCTAAAAGCAGCAGTATGGGTTGAGATAAAGGAAAAGTGAACAAACTTAGTCCAGCTCTTCAGTGGTAGTTTCAGAACTGGCCACAAGAGGGCAATGGTTAGCATTTGAAAGAAAACATCCCTCATATACACACACCAGTATAGTTTTTCTATTCATTGTTCACATGTTACTTGCTTATTATAACAAAAGGTGCCGTGTTTTCTTGATGAATTTGGGAATCACCTATCTTGAAGACTGTGTCCAGCTCTAAATATCTTTTGCACAGAGAGTTTAAGGATGGCATTTGCTATACTGCACCTCTGTATGAGGTGATGGGATCAATTGAACATGTTTTTTTTTTATAACATGTTCAGATCAGGACATAAAGGGTAAAGCAAGACTCCTATCTGACCCTTCTTTCATGGTGAAAGTGTTGCCATTGTTTCTCGGAGTTCTGTGAGGAAATCCCCCCACTGGAGGCAATGCAAGACTGATAGGTTAGATTAATAAAGCATTTCCCACAAAGATCAATATGACAAACATAAACACCATTTATATATTTGAGAGAGTGATAGATCATGTTACAAGAAACAGCAAAAGGAAGGAAGGAAGGCTGAGAAAGAACTGCATTTAGCAGCTATTGCAACATACATGTCCATACCTGGCTTGACTGTCCATCCTCTCCACCAAAATGCGAACTGACTGACAGAGTTGAATGGGGATGGACCATGCTTTCAGGCAAAGTATCTAAGTGGGAACCACTCCTGTGCAGAATGTGGTATAGATCTTTCCCCTAAAAATGGAAACCTAACTTATATTGATGCTGGGTTTCTAGGGGCATTCCAGAGGAGTAGAAACTATCCATCTTCTCCTACTTAGTCCGAGTCACGGTGGTTCTCTGGCAGTGTATGGGTGAGAGGCAGGGTAGACCCTGGACAGGTCATGAGTCTGCCACAGGGTAACACAGAGACACACATAGACACACAGACATGCACACACACATTGAGTGTCTGTGCATGTTCGTAGTAGTTCTGCTTTTGGTTTTTGGGAGGAATCTGGAGAACCAGGAGAGAATTCATGCATGCAGTGGAAAACATTCAAACTGCATGCAGAAAGACCCTGGGCCAGGGATCGAACCCAGAACATTCTGCTACTATTACTGCAAGGCAACAGTGCTATTGAAATTGGTTTTGAATCAAAGTTTCTTCGGATCAATCCTAATGAAAATGTTGATCACATGAATTACAGTATGTGCATTTTAACCTCAAACACCTAAAAAAAACCAAACTAGAGATGATAAAAGGAATTGTTCCTTTGTGTTCCTTCACTTGTGTCTTGGCAGAATAGAACTGATTAACATTTTGTGCAATCCCCTGTCTGGATTTGTTCATTACCAGATTCATTATAGGAGCTATGTCTGAAGAGTAGACCCCACTGCCAATGTTAGTATTTTTTCATGATTTAAAATATCTTGTCTTGACTGAGTGATTATCTCACAGAATTGTTTTACTTTTTTTTTATTTTTTACTTTTTTCATATAAAGGAAAGGTGTCACTTGATTTTAATGGTCTTTTACCAACATTTCAAGTGATTGCTACTGTTATTCTTCTCTTTTAGACATCAATTATGAGGCTTTTATCTAAACTAAGCCTCTTATAATTTCCCCAAATAAAATGCTTCCTTGCCTTGAAATGCAGTTGAAGACTGTAAATCCAAACAAAACACAGAATAGTTTCATAATTATTGTTTGTTTATTGGAATCTATTGCATTAGAAAAAGATATTTGCAAATGCAAATTTACAAATGTAAAACAATAATGATTTGAATAGAAAAGAATAGATGCAAACATGGGTAAAATATCAAATAATAAACATGCAACAATGGGGCTTAAAATGGCTAAATACCCAAAGTGTGGATTAGATTGTAGTCACTGTAAAGATGAATCACCTGTAGGCTGCAACATTAAAGCTCCTGGAATGAGATCGGAAGGCAATACCATATTATAACATCAATTCGGAGTTATTGAAAGTAAACAAAAGCAAAACAAAAAAATCCCTTTTACCTGTACAGGTCTTATTCCTTCATGATTAGGTAACAGGTGTGGCCGTAGCGTTGACAATCATGCTGTTTTCCTTCAGCACATGCAGAATGGTGTCTTGAGGCAGTCCCATCCTTGTTAGCTCCTCTTTAATCTAGGAAAGAACACAGAATACATTTCTTTGTATGTACATCCATTGATAAATCTATCATTTGGTATGTCTGTCTGTCCATATATCACACACACACCCCAATGAGGAGGATATTTCCCTAAGGACATTTTCCAAATGTCCCAAAATAGTCCCAGTCTGCAAAATGCAAACTGAGCAAATTTAACATTATACCAGAAAGTGTTATACAGCTTTCTGGTTCATCAATCAATATGCTTCGATCAACATTCAGATTTCCCTGCATTAGGACAAACAAACCAGATCCAACTTGAAAAGGTCCACTCAGGTTTTTAATGGCTTATTACCTTCACCATAGAAGTTATGTTTTTGGTCATGTTTGTTTGTGTGTTAGCAGTATTACTTGAAAAGTTATTAATAGATTTTATGTTTTTTTTTTTTTTTGTTGCTTTTTTGGTCAGAGATGTGGCTTACACCAAGATACAAACCATTCAATTTTAGTGATAATCCAGATGATAATCTAAATACAGGATTTTTTTAAAGGATTCTTTAACATTATTTGCCGGAACAAGCAGTTCCCTCCTCAACCAAGGGGTGGCAGCAGTGACTATTGACAGCGTCAGCATCGGACTCAAAAAATCTGAAGGAATTATACTGAAGACAAAAAAAAGCCAAAACAACAAAATGGAGCCATGCTTCACCCACATTTTCGATCTGCTGACCAAGGAAGAAAGCAGAGTGCAGAGCAAATTAAGATGAGAGCTGAACAGACTGCAGACACATGTAGTGCTTTATTATATATTATAAACTCATAAAAAGATTTTAAGGAAACTTTTTACCAGGTTTTTTTTTACCAGGTTTTTTTACCAAATTTTTATGAATTCTTCCTTGGAATGTGGGACACATTCCAAGGAAGAATTCATAAAAATTTGAAAAAGATCCCGATTATGCAACATATTCTCATTATCAGTGCGTATGAAATCGTACGAAAAGTTATGCACACTATTTCGTACGTTTTGGACGTTTTTCCTCAAAAAACCACATCAGTGAGCATGCGCTGGCAGACAGGAAAAAAAAAGCAGATCCGCGGACGGACGTAAAACTGGGAAAAACAGTGCAATCATCACTTATTCATGTCTCTAACTACGTTGCTTGCTGTTTTATATCTTAGGGTTAGGGTCAGGGTCAGGGTTAGGGCTAATTGTAATTTATATTCTAGATTCATGAATGGTGCGTCAGATGCGCATACGCAAACGACGAAAAAAAACCGTCCAAAACGTACGAAATTACGGTGCATAACTTTTCGTACGATTTCATACGCACTCATAATGAGAATAGGTTGGATTATGTGGGAGTTTTAGCAACAGATTTAAGTCACAATAAGGGGCAAGTTTGCTAATTTTGGCTCTTGCATTATTTTTAATGTCCACAACAGCTACATAATACAGTGTTCATAAACCTTGTTTTCAAGAAAAAAATATATAATAATACCAATATATTAATAATCATCATCATTATTATTATAAGAATTATATTTTTCACAAGGACTGACAATTAAAGAAAATTATTTAGAAAACTACTTTGATGCCATTATAGAGACCTTCTGCAGAGGAAGAGATGATCAGATTATTCCATGTATGCACAAAATGCACAGAAGAATTATATATTTGTTGATGTGTTGATTTTTTTCTTTGGGGGGGTGATTGATTTGTGCTTTCCACTTTGTTCTGTGCTTATACTGAAAAAAAAAAAATGAAAGTAGAAGTAACATTCATCACAGAGTTGGACATAAAACTCACCTGCAGAAGGAGGGCACCATTAACCGTGCCTCCAAAAGATGGCAATGAGGAGAAAACCTTCATGTTCACTCTAGCCACAACACCTGCATGACAGGAAATGGGCATCAGAATCTCATAGGTTTGTAGCCCCTACACCATCTTATATGTACTTTTGTCTTAACTGGAGATATTTGTTTTTCACATAACTAACTTAAAATAGATCCAGAGGAGATTAGGGAGTTTACTCACTAGTCACAACATGCACTATGACGCATCGAAGCTCAGAGTGATACTTGAATGAACTGTGAAAATTAAGAAGTTGATATTAATACAATAAAGGTGTTGTAGATCATGGAGAACAAAAGTTGAATATAATTTGCTCAATATTTACACCCACAAAAGAGTAATACTAGGACAAAAAGCACATTAAAATCATACAACAGAAGAAACCTTTATGCTGTTTCAGATCAGATATTTTTTCCTGCACCCTTGCATTGATTTAAGATGAGAAGGATAGTCAGTCAATCCATACAGGACTTTTGAAAGGCTGCTATGGCAGAATAAGTTTACAGAATCAGTTTCTGGTATAAACTTAAACCTGACTTTGGCCTGCATTTTTGGCACAAAGTCAAGTTTTTGTTGTATAATGGAATCCTTGTCCTTCTTTTCTCCCTACAGATTTTATATACAGTATCTCTCTGGGAAGTTAGTGACAGGAGGGTGACTGGTTTGCTCTTGGAACAGTTTACAGTCAAATGACTGCAATTTAGATGGACGCAAGAACTAGGGCTTTGTCTACAATAATGTTGGCTTTGCTTTTGTTTGTCATGTTAAGAAAGGAGCCTAAAAGATAAGCCTTCACCAGATTCACCAGCATGTCTTCCTTTCAACAATAATCTGTGGTCATAGAATGTAAAAAAAAGAAAGAGTGGGGTCCAACATAAACATGTGTCCTCTGATGTGTGGCTAAACTTAACATCCTCCACATTGAAAGCAATCAGCAAAGGTGCTTCTTGCATTTGGTTTAGATGCCTCTTGTGTCCCTAATGTCCTAGGACCAGACAATAAACTTTCTGTAAACACTTAATCCTCAATCTGCATGGGAGAGATGTTTACCTATCTTACCTTGACCTGCTATCCTATTGGATAAGTGGTAGAAAAGGAAAGGATGTACTGCTTGAGAGACAGACAGTGTGGGGCCTGACACTATACCTCCAACTGATTAGATCCCCTGGCTAATTGACTAGGGTGATATTCTTTTGGCTAACTGGTCAGTGCATATGACTTTAACCCAGTAGTCTGTGGGACCTAATCCTGCCTGGGCCCCCCACTGAATACCTTTCCACAAGAAGAGTTATGGGCCTCTTCATCCTCAAAAGTTTTTTCTGTACTTCTGTAGAACTCAGATGCTTTGGTTTTATTTTGATATTTCTTATATCTTAACAGCTTTCTCTTTTTTGATTTTGAAGAGCATGATCCTTATTTTACGAAAAGATACTGACTTTAATGTTGACTGGACAACAAAACAGATAGGATGGTGTTCTCCTTCTTCATTGGGCGATGGCGTCCATCTCAGCTTGAAGTTTCCTGATCCGGATGAACTCTTGACTACACTGGATGGACCGCTGAACAGGAGCTCAGAGATTCTTCAACAGAAAAAAATCTAAGTCATTATTTCCATTTTCATATTTCCCCAGTGAAACCTACAAGCTATTGTAGAAAGCATACAATTTTTTCTTATTGTAATCGGGCATTTTGTGTCAGGAAGAGGTCCCATATATGTAAGACGTGGTAGAGGCAATAGAGCACAACTGTCTCATCACTGCCCAGGGTAGATCAGTTTTCATGACCTTGGCAATTATGACTAACATACAGTAATTACTCATTCACCTTTCTAACTCTGCCGGGTTGCTCATTATCTCTCATCTGATCCACCTGCTCCTGCCTCTATTTACGGCGCTTTAATCCAGTCATCGGTCCCAGATTATCTTGTTCTCTCTACCCAGTGGTGAGAATGTTGGAGTTGAGAGTTCCTTGTTGTTTCTGATTTCATGATCCTCACCTGTTCTGCCTCTCAAACACTGTGCCTGCCTGTTCCCGTCTAAATGATTTTCTAACTGTCTTTGGAGTCCTAGACCCCTGAGCCTGCCTGTTCCTTTTCTAATCTGTTTGCCTGACCTGTCACCGGACTACTGCTTATTCTCAAGGACTGCAGCATCTGGGACACTCTGGACAGCGCTCGTAGCTTCTTGTTTGCAGCCCACTAGCTGGATCCTACCTCGTTCTTTGGGTATGGGCTAAACTTGTTTACCAGGTTAGTGGTTCACATGGATATTCATCCTTCATCAAATTTTCATGGTCACTAACTTGTGTTTCTCTCCTGCAGAGGTTCCAGCCTTACATGTCACTGCTACTCCAGCCTGTGTATTAAATAAATACTTTTTGAGTTATCCCACTGTCTGTCTGGCCTTAAATACTGGGTCCTTCTGTTCTGTGTCATGACATCAGTATTTGTATTTAAAAGTAGTTACTACAACTAATGAGACAAATCAACAGCTGGCTAATTTGAATTTAACAAGTTGGAGACATAATCTCTGAGGTAAATGTGATTCAGCTTTTCGCTTGTAGACCATAGTATTCTCCATGACCTCTGAACAGTTTTCTGTGCATATACACAGCATTGAAACATATTATCCTCTAAGCACGAGTAGCCCATGAACTCTGTTATTTATAAAACTTATCTGTCAGAAGGTCTGGTACAATAAGAATTGGATGCTCTTTTACCAACTGTTTAATTGATTAGTAGAGTTTATACCACAGGTCACATTATGACATCTGTACCACCTGGGTTATGAAAATCGAAGAAATGAATAAACATTAAATAAGGATAAATGTTTATTGTGATCTGTGATCTGAAGTAGGTTTTTTCTTTAAATGTTTTGGCTTGACATACTGTATTACAGTTATTTTTCTCTTCTTTTTCCTGGAACGATATAAACAGGAACTGCAGGGAATCCTGTCTCACAGCAGTTTACTGGTATTTCCATACCACAAATATAAATATAAATAGCTTAGTAACAAGGTGTTAATTGTTCCTAATTGTTAAAAAATTGACTAAAGAAAGACCATACAAGCAAAACCTGATTTTATCATTCCAGAGAGACCACAAAAATTAATCTTGAATNAAAAAAAAAACAGCCTTATTTTACATTATGCAATTACACAATGAATACTTAGAGTTGTTATAACTCAACAATTGCCCACCCTACCACATTTTGTTGTTGTTACTATAGCTTATGGTATTTCTTCACTTACGTGGTATTTTTGGCCTCTGCAATGATGTTTATTTCCAATACTTGGTTCACTCCTGCAAACAACTTAGCTTTATTTGCCGGAGTTGGAGGTAGAAACTTTGGAAGAAATAATCCTTCTGTGCATGTTGGTACAACAGGATCCACTGTAATGAAACGGAAAAATATCAAATGAAAATACAAGTGCAGTTTGGCAGGCCAGACTACTGGTGACAGCATTTAAAAAATTAGTTCTGCAGAGTAAGGGCGTAATGATACACACCCGAAATACCCAGTTCAGCCTTGTCAGGTCAGCGCACACATACCAAACAAATACAGCATTGTTTTAAACTGAACACATGTTTATGTGCAGAACTAAGAGCTCAGTGCAATGGATTGCTTTAAGAATTTAAATAAAAAAGGAGACTCACACTTATTTAAAATAAACTCAGCTATTTTGGGGACCTTAGGGTTTATTATGCAGTTACAGAGGAGAAACAAAGGTGGATCAACCAAAACAATACGTTAGTGTAGGCTGCCTGCAGCATCCAACAAGTTTATACTTACACAACGAATAAAAAGTTAAACATATTTGTAATGTATTGTCACGTCCCCATCACCAGAAAGAAACAACTGGGCTTTTATGGTGCTTCTAAGTTAAGTTATATTTTCACTTTTTTAGTTGAAGACAACTACACATGTAATAAAATTTCCATTGTATTTGATTTGCATAATCAGTTTGTTTTCATCCAATGTATTACTGTCTTGTCAATGATTAAATATCTGTTGATCCATCCATCCATCCATCCATCCATCCCGAACAATGATTTTATCACTGTAGACTACTGGAGAGTCTACAGTGATTGTGGCTGATAGCTACAATTTAACTCTTACCATGTAAAACAAACTGGAAGGGTATTTTGCTGATTGCTTGACTAGGTGTTTTGTTTTCTTGAACGCCATCGACATTAGTCAATGTAATATTTTGCAAGGGAAAGTCCTCCATTACCATCTGCACAGCATATGGACCTTGGTTGATATTACTGGTTCGGTTGAAGGTGAGAGTACAAGACTGCACAAGAAAAGAGTGATTTAGTCTGAGAAAACAGTATTATGCACCATGCATCTTTGTATGCAAGTAGAGCTGGTAACTTACTGGTGACAGGCTTAGAACAGATGGTGGTGTACAGGGGTTACACTCAGACAATGAATCAGATCCATATCTGCATTTTATGATGTCTCCATCGGGGTCAAATGCCAACAAGTTGAAATCCCGTTGACAGTTTGAAGGAACTCTAAAAGACAAATATTACTGTAAGTTATCTTCTGCAACTAACCAATTCCATCCCAGCTCCTGCCTATCTTATGACTCACTAAACCTGCTATCCTTCATAGTTTTCTCACAGTTCGACAGTTAAGCCTGCTCTATGGCCTCTCTGTCATCAGATTGTCATATATTGAAGTGCAGGGGAAATGACAGGTTTCTGATATTGTATCACATGGCACACAAGTGACCCACAGGAGCTTTTACAAATTTTGCCACAATGTTAGTTTGGTAGCTTTAGAAGTGTATAGTAGGGTTAGGGTCAGGGATGGGTTAGGGATAGGTTTTTACTTATTAATCCATGCAAAGTTCCTGCAACGACGTAATGCACCCTGTGTGTCAATAAATGATGAAAGGGTCATCCCTGGTGTGTCAGTATCTGACACCTAGAAGACTTGACAAAGCTTCAACATTTGACCAGTTGGAGGTGAAACTATATCTCTATCAGTTTATTTGCATTAGTTTAGGCTAAAACAATTATGCCTGAGTTAGTTCCTTCATTCTGTCTTTTTTATTTCAGATCTTATCTCAAGAATCTACAATCACCTCTACATTCCTTCAAATGTACTGATTATCATTGAGATAGCATTATGAATTGACAACTTTTCTTTCTTTCTCAGCTGTCAAATACAGCCTGCATATGACTAGACAAGGTGAAAAAAGTAATTAAAATTCCATTCCACATAACTTTCCTGGAAGTTGTTACCGTGACTAACTTGACTTACACGTTCCTTGAGATGGTTATTAAAAAAACTTGGCTTAACTTCTTACAAAATGTGTAGAGTGAAGATGCCTACCTCACAGATGGCAGGATGGTACTCTGAGGGGAAATGTTTGCTTTCCCGGTGTCAGATCGATTCCTCAACTCCACACCAGTCAAAGCTCTCCAAGAGACAATGCCATTTTTAATGGAACTTATCCAGTTACCACCGGCCAACCTTAAATGGAAAAAGAAGTCCAACACTCCTTATTTTGAAATCAAATGTAGTTGTAAGACTTTTTGTTATTGGTCATCAAAACTATCTACCGTTTTTTTTGTAGTTCAATGTTGGGAACATATTATGCTTTTTTTTCTTATATACTGATAGTACTTCCATTATCCACTTAGCAGATAAACATAGGCTTCTTACATTTGCATGGAATTGGTTTGTTTACTAGAAAAGCAACCGAATCACTGTCAAACAAAAAGAAAATGTCAGAAAGTAAAAAAGAAAAAAACATTCTAATACTGATATATCATGTCGACACCTCTAAGAGTCCAAACTATTTAAACGTCTTTTGACAACCAAGCTCTGTATCCTGGCTTTTGATTTGTTGATTGTTAGCTGTTTAATAATTCTTAGAAATCTTAACTTGGTCAGTCAAGTAACTGTTTTGATTACCATTCTACATTAATTGGTATAATTGTAAGACACAGTGTTTAACAGTGGATATTTTCAAATGTGTTATATAAATAATTTTGACATTGATCCTTACACAAACTCTGTTGAAGACCTTGGGGAAATAACAGGAGTCAGTATTCCCTCTCGCTGACACCATTCTCCACCAGATTCTTCATCAACCTTTTCTAAAGTGGGAGCCAGGATGCCACAAGAACCAGAGCAGGTCCATGTGTCAGCATCTGTGCACCGGCGGAAGCTCAGCTTGTAACGTAAAAAAACCTGGAAAGTTAAAGGTTAAAATGTTTAACAAAACACAGTCCCTTTAAGTAGATGCTTATGAATAAATCGGATAACTACCTACCTGCATGGATCCATCTACATTAGTCTGTTTTGGATAGTAGGTCATCACTGTGCCAAAAAAGTGAGTGGCTTGGGTGCTGCTGAGCAGCAGCAGTAGCACAGGCAGCAGCATAGTGAACATATGAGCCCCTCTGCAAGAATGATGCATTTAGAGAAAGCTCCAGGAGTTAAATGACACCTTGTCTTCTGCCTTGCCTTTTTAATGAAGCATTCCAATGACAGTAAGAGAGTGAACAGTCCGGTATAACAGGGTGTCTAATATCTTTGAAGTGACAGTGCAGTAAGTTTTCCTGCCTCTGTAAACCTTAAGTGCTAGGAATATATTCATTAACAACAAATAAATAAACAAGTCAAATTAGTCTATGTAATTGTTAACGATGCACTGCAGTTACTAAAAAAAAATGTAATTACCATGTTGTCTTTATAAACCATTAACCTGACACACGTTTAATATTCCCCACTTTGTGTTTTTCTGATGGAGTCTTGTCTTATGCTGAGATGCTGTTTGATAATGTTAGCTGACTTTGAGCTCACCTGATGCATTTTTTATTGTAGCTTTGGACTTAATTGCATTATTTGTTGTTCTTATATTGATGTCTTTCTGTACAACCTACCGATATCGTCGTAGTTTGTGCTCCTAAACCACCACTGGTTTTACGACCCTTTGGCCCTGCAACGTAGTCTGGTTTCCCACTATCATCTCAGCTAACCCAATTTGCCTGAGACCTGCTATATTTTAATGCATTTCTCAGTCATTGTTCATCATTCACTGTAAAACCAAATGAAGCTTCATTGTTTTGATTGCATTTAAGATCTCTGCATCAGTTGTTATCCACATTTATCTGCTGCTATTTTAAAGGGACACCCTTAATGCATCATCCCGCCAAGCTTCAAAATTTGAAAATTCCTTAGAGACTTTTTAAACAGACTCTTAGACCCCTTTATATTAATTATAATTCAACTAACTAATTATAATTCAACTAATAAACATTGATTTAAATGACCTATTAATTAACTATAACTCCCAAATGTAGTGATATATTCATAATCTTCTGGTAAAATTGTACAACAGCGTTAACCTTCCAAAGTATTTGCAGCTAATAGTTTCCTCTTTTGGATGTGTGGAGGAGAAGTGGCTCTACTCCCAGCCCCACCTGCATGACTGAGCTTAGGTGGCTCGGACATCTTTTTTGGAAGCCCCCTGGACGCCTCCCTCAGGAGGAGTTCCGGGCCGGTCCCACTGGGAGGAGGCCAAGGGGAAGACTCAGGATGCAATGTCTCTCTGCAAGCCTGGGAGCGCCTCAGGCTTTCCCCAGCAGAGCTGGAGGAGGTGTCTTAGGGGAAGGAAGTCTAGGAGTCTCTGCTGAGACTGCTGTAACAGCGACCTGGACCCAGATGAAGCTTTAGATGACAAGTACTGTACAAGTTTCCTCTTTTCTTTCCCGGTTGCTATTGTTGTTACCTGACCTACTGTTAAATCGGGTCAATTCTCCAAACATGTTTAGTTTTCAATTAAACTTGATCCGTGTAACCTTTAGAAGATATGACTTAAAGCTGTACAGCATTACTCTGCACAGACACAAAAACCATCCAGATTAGTTCAGCATAGTTTTGTTTACTCCACCCAGATAAAGGAGCAACCGGTCCGTGGTGAGAACCATTCTTAGGCTAAATAAAGGATCCATTTGCATTGCTGTGGTTAGTGACATGTTTGTTGTTAGTTGTTGACAAACAAGATTGGGCCTTTAAGGTAATAAAGTAATTAAGATTAATTTTAGGTGACTCATCAACATGGTAATCATGCAGCCATTTGTTTCTTTTAATGTATTCTTTATTTGACAAGGACAATAAAATCAAACTTAATGACAGAACAAAGCAAGTCTGGCTTGTAAATGTAAAATTTTGTTAGACTCAGGGTCCAGACTGCATGAGCCCAGCTAATTCTATTTAACATTTACTGTATTTTCANGGAAGTCTAGGAGTCTCTGCTGAGACTGCTGTAACAGCGACCTGGACCCAGATGAAGCTTTAGATGACAAGTACTGTACAAGTTTCCTCTTTTCTTTCCTGGTTGCCATTGTTGTTACCTGACCTACTGTTAAATCGGGTCAATTCTCCAAACATGTTTAGTTTTCAATTAAACTTGATCCGTGTAACCTTTAGAAGATATGACTTAAAGCTGTACAGCATTACTCTGCACAGACACAAAAACCATCCAGATTAGTTCAGCATAGTTTTGTTTACTCCACCCAGATAAAGGAGCAACCGGTCCGTGGTGAGAACCATTCTTAGGCTAAATAAAGGATCCATTTGCATTGCTGTGGTTAGTGACATGTTTGTTGTTAGTTGTTGACAAACAAGATTGGGCCTTTAAGGTAATAAAGTAATTAAGATTAATTTTAGGTGACTCATCAACATGGTAATCATGCAGCCATTTGTTTCTTTTAATGTAGTCTTTATTTGACAAGGACAATAAAATCAAACTTAATGACAGAACAAAGCAAGTCTGGCTTGTAAATGTAAAATTTTGTTAGACTCAGGGTCCAGACTGCATGAGCCCAGCTAATTCTATTTAACATTTACTGTATTTTCACGACTATAAGGCGCATATAAACGTCTTTTTTTTCCCTCAAAATGTGCACCGCGCCCTATAGTGCGGTGCCACCTATGTGTTACTGCGGACGTTGTTGAGACCGCCACGAGAACGTTAAAGGGGGAAGTGTGGGCATGGATTGTGTATAAAAGAACAGGTATGTGCTTTATGCATGTATTATGAAATTTAGGCAGGAATCGGGATAAGTCGGCAATAAAGATGAACACACAAACTGTTTCTGCTACAATTAAAATGTGTCGTTGTATTCTGCCACAGAAAACAGCAAAGCAAGCACATTAATCAAGGCACGGTGCTGAATACAAATTATATTGTCCCCCTACCGTGACACAAGGATCGGAGGGCCGGTCGATCCCGGCAGGGCAGCAACCCCCGCAGCTAGGCGTCCGTACGCAACCCTAGCAGACCCCACCGGTGTCAACAAGCCCCCGCCACTATTGCCACACTTCAAAGTAAAATCTTTCACCCAATCAGGAAAAATGACCGCTCCCTCTCACGCATGATTACAGAAACCAAAATATGAAACTGGCATCCCCCGAACCCACCCAGGGCTCGTGGACAGCTGAAAGCAAAAACAAAATTACATAATGATCAGATACAAAAACAGGTTACATCCTGCCCAGTACCTGGTACCAATCACTGCTTCATCTGTGTTACCTCCCCAGAGCTACTGACCCTCCCCAGAGCTCATTATGCCCAGTATCTGTTCCCCAGAGCTCATGGACACAGTGTAAAAAAAAACATGCTCCTGCTTCGATACAAACTTATATAAAAAGAGTGCTTCATTTGTGGTACAAAACTTGTATGATTGTCAAAGAACATAAAATATAAAACCCATATATATCAATGCAGAACATTGTTGTCATAACAACCCTGAAAATGGCAAAGAGACACGCCTATGAAGCACAGTTTAAACTGAAGGCTATCAGCTACGCAGAGGAACATGGAAATCGAGCGGAAGAAATGAAAATTGAACATTTTCAAGGAGGTCCGT